TTGTAACATTCTAAATGTCTTTATCATCACTTTTGATCAATTTAAAGCATCCTTGCTAAATAAAAGTATTAGTTTCTATAATTTCTTATAGAAAAAAAATGTATACGGTCTCCAAGCTTTTGAATGGTAGAGTGTATAATGTTACAAAAGCTTTTTATTTCAGATTAATGCTGATCTCTGGATCTTTCTATTCATCAAAGAATCCTGAAAAAATGTACTTAATGGTTTTAAATATTGACAATAATAATAAATGTTTCTTGAGTAGCAAATCAGCATATTATACTGATTTCTGAAGATCATGTGACACTGAAGACTGGAGTAATGATGCTGAAAATTCAGCTGCGCATCACAGAAATACATTACAGTTTAACACATATTCACATAGAAAACAGTTGTTTTAAATAGTAAAAATATTTCGCAATATTTCTGCTGTACTTTAGATCAAATAAATGCAGGCTTGGTGAACAGAAGAGACGTCTTTAAAAGCCATTTAAAATCTTACTGCTCAAAAACGTTTGACTGGTAGTGAATGATGTTGAATGATTTGTTTCTCGTTGTAGATTCGGTGGCAGTCAGGAGCTGCTCAACAAAAGCAGGTTGGTTTGTGTTGGTTTGTGTCTGGTGACTCAGATTCTCCGTGGTCTGACTCTTCTGTCGCCCACAGCAGCACGAACACTAAGAGCGGAGCCGTCTCCATCTCATCGCCCTCCAAACCTCCGCTCCCTGTCAAGTGAGAGCCGCTGCAGCACGCAGAACATGCTGAGGTTTAGTGTGTGAGTCTGTTAAGCGTGTGACTCGCTCTGTTGCAGGAATCCGGCGCTCAAGACTCCCAACAGCTCCAGCTTCACAGCGAGGGTGTTCTCCGGAGCAAACACCAGCAGCAAACCGTAAGTCAACTAGAGCTCTGCTTAGGGCTTAAAGGAATGCCATCATTTACTCACCACTCCTGTATGAGTCTCTTTCTTCTGTTGAACACAAACGAAGATATAAAAAAAAAAAATGTAGTTGACTTCCGTAGTAGTTTTTTTTTTTTCCTACTTTGGAAGTCAATGGTGCTCATCAACTGTTTGGATACCAACATTTTCAGAGTTCGGAATGTTACTTTTAAAATGTATCAGGTTACAGATTACAAGCTACCCTATTTAAAATGTAACAAGTAGTGTAACTATTTCAAATACTTTATTAAAGTAGTGTAACTGATTACATTTGGTCACTTTTAAATTTCTAACAAATGTTAAACATTTTGAAACATGTAAAGCAGGCCGGGTTAACCTCACAGTAGTGCTCTGATTACTCTCAGAATCCTTCATCATTTGAATTAAGATTATAATAATTGACAAGCTACCCTATTTAAAATGTAACAAGTAGTGTAACTATTTCAAATACTTTATTAAAGTAGTGTAACTGATTACATTTGGTCACTTTTAAATTTCTAACAAATGTTAAACATTTTGAAACATGTAAAGCAGGCCGGGTTAACCTTACAGTAGTGCTCTGATTACTCTCAGAATCCTTCATCATTTGAATTAAGATTATAATAATTTAATTTTAAAAAGCACAACCACCACAAAATCAGACTTTAGCTCCTCTTTTAACTTTGAGACCATTCTGAGGTTAAATGCAGATTTAAAGTATAGTTTAATAACTATGATACTGTTTTTGAAATTTAATCTTTGCATAGAAACACTGGCATCTAACAGTTTATCTTAAAAAAATAAAGCATATACATAAACCCAAATATACAGTTATGGAATAAGCATGTGTCCTAAACTCCTGAAACATTGGTGTCTCATATTTTAGAGCAGTCAATGCAATTTGGGAAAGAAATCAATTAAATCTGTATGTTTGTGAAAAAAAATTAGATGTAACCCCCTTTGTAATCTTTAAAAATGTCACAAGTAACTGTAATTTAATTACAAAATTTTCTCTGTAACTGATTACAGTTACATTTTTTTGTAATTAAATTATGTAATTCCGTTACATGTAACTAGTTACTCCCCAACTGACTTTGTTTTTAAATATCTTCGTTTGTGTTCCGCAGAAGAAAGAAACTCATGCAGGAGGGTGAATACATTTTTAAAGTGAACTAATCCTTTAACACAGGTGTTAGTTGAGTTGCTTTCTGCTCATGTTTGTGTGTGCAGGTCAAGTCCTGTTAAACGAGTGTTTGGTGAGAAGCTTCCGGAGGTCACAGCGTCTCAGAATACTGACGGGTGAGTCGAGTGTGTTCTGTCATTCAGGACAGGCTTATTATAGTCAACTTCATTTCAAACCATTAAGATAATTCTTTACTTACAATAAATGCTAACTGAAATAAACTAAAATAATTATTTCAGCTAGTTTCAAATGCAGCATTTCTCATTTTAATTTAGTTTATCTTTTTGTACTAAAATAACTAAAACGGAAATAAAAATTACTAAAAACTATATAGACAAAAAACATAAAATACAAAATTAAATAGAAAAAAACAACTATATAGACATACATATAACTACTAAAATTATATATATATACAGTCAGGTCCGTATATATATTTGTGTGTGTGCATATATATATAATATATATATATAACTACTAAACATGACAAAAACACACAACATAAAATACAAAATTAAATAGGAAAAAAACTATATAGACATACATATAACTACTAAAATTATATATATACAGTCAGGTCCATATATATATATTTGTGTGTGTGCATATATATATATAATATATCTATATAACTACTAAAAATGACAAAAACACACAACATAAAATACAAAATTAAATAAAATAAAAAAACTATATAATGGCTGCAATATAACAAAGAGTGAAAAATTTAAGGGGGTCTGAATACTTTCCGTACCCACTGTATAACTACTAAAATTATATATATACAGTCAGGTCCATATATATATTTGTGTGTGTGCATATATATATATATATATATATAAAATATCTATATAACTACTAAAAATGACAAAAACACACAAAATAAAACTCAAAGTTAAACAGAAAATGCAAAAATAAAAATTATTCAAAATATTAATAAAAATATAATATTATCTCAGTGATACTAAAAGGATCTACAGCTAAACCATTTTGAGCTTAAATATTTATATTTCAGTAATTCAACAACAAATTTACATTTGCATTCACAATTAAACATCACATTTCTCTGATGTCAGTTACTGTTCACATGACATTCAGGTAAACAAATAAAATATTCCGTCTTTTTTAGTAAATGTTATGCTTTGTTTGTATTTTGTAATATGTTTAAATTTTTTGTGTTAATTAAGGATGGTTTTCCATCAACTCGAGTATGACATGTTTCATGTAAAGTTTCAGTTTGATTTCAGTTTTTAATGTTTTTAACAGAATGGCTAAGAGCAGCAGCGCCGGAGCGGCTCCATCGACTCCTCCGTCGTCTGTGACGTGAGTCTGTTTAATGTGTGAACTCTGATCTCCAGTCAGAGGAAAGCTGGAGTCTCTAATATTATCTGTGTGTGTTTTTATTGATGCAAACAGCGTCTCGTCGTCACCAGCTCCTGCAGCCACGTCCACGTAAGTCCTGTTCAGTCAAAACCAGATCTGAATGACGAGCTCCTCACGTTCTGCTTCAGATGAAGATGTTTTTATTGATTCCGCAGCGGTGTGAAGAGTCCAGTGATCCAGCCCGCCGTGAAGAGCCCAAGCAGGTGAGATTCATCAGCAGACGTCATCAGTCTCCATCATCTGTAGGGTTGGGTATCATTTGAATCGATTCCCTGCTGAAAAAAACAATAGAAGCATCACAGAAAATTCGAATGGTTTCCACTACAAATACCATTACAAACCATCAACTTTTAACCATTAAAACCATTAAAAAATGGTTTTCTGTAGTGTGTTTTGGGACATATTCCATTAGGATTTATTGGTTTTAACAAGCCACCAATAGAAGGTGACCATCAGAAACCCATAGCAGTTTCCATTAAAACTAGTAAAACCATTACAACTTTTGTGATGGTGTCTGTTGTTTTTTTTCAGCAGGGTTCCTAGTTTTGATTCCAAAAAATGAAGTCAAACTTTTATTCTGTGTCTTTTTGCAAAGCGTTCGGTTGCAGCTGAGTAACACTCAGGCCTACAAGAGGAACTTTTGCCTATGCTTTCACCAAAAATACCACAGCAAACACAACTAGACTAATATACGTTTCTAATATTAACGTGTTACAGACAAGTAAACAGTCAGTAATAAAACAGGAACAAACAAATCAATTAGAAACAGCATAAATACATACAACTGAACCAAATTGCAAGTACAGAAAGAAAGAATTAAAAGTTTAAAAACTTTTCTTTTCATAAATAAAATATAGATTAATTACAGTTATTGAAGATATTCAGTCAAGATCGGTGAATGATTTTCTTTTGTTCTTTGATTAACGTTAATGACAGGCAGCACGTTTATTAGGCTGCTGTCTCTTTAACACCGAACGCACGCAGAACTAAAAACACTGTAATACTGCGATTTCTCTCATGTTTACGTTCACTTAAGACAAAAACGGATGTGTTTACTTAAATTGTTTTAAATCACATTAAAATGCGAACGCAGGAATCATTAAGCAGGGTTGAAATGCACGCGTCTTATCGAATACCCGGTTTTCGATACCCAACATGATCATCTGTCTCCTGATGTTGCTGTCTGTTCTCAGGAGTGAAAGCGTGTCCGTCTCATCGCTGGTGTCCACGTCCTCAACACCGTCGGCTCAGTAAGTGACTTCACACTGACGCTCATCTGAATGTGTGCCATGATCTCTGATTCATCTGTTCACGAAACACGTCTCAGTAAGTTACTTCACACTGACGCTCATCTGAATGTGTGCCATGATCTCTGATTCATCTGTTCATGAAACAGAACCGTCATCACAAACACCAAAACATCCTCCTCGATGCTGCAAGAGACTCCAAAACCTAGGTACGAGCTCACGTGAAGAACATGATTCAACCATTCACAGCAATAGTGCAGCCAAACATGAACGAGAGCATCCATTGCTGAGACACTGATGCAGTGCTACATTTCTACAAACCTGAAACTAACTCATCCTGATCTTTTCTTCTCAACTGCACACATTTAAAAATGGAAGCTGATCACCTGAGAGAAGTCTGTCAAGATCCAGATATGATATTTTGATTAAACGGATTAAACATTTGACGCTGACTTTAACACATGTGATCGTGTTCATTCACATGCAGTGACATCAGTTATTCTTCAGCTCGCTCTCCGTCGTCTCCACCGGCTGTGACTCTGAACACACGCTACAGCTATCAGACTCCCAGGTAACGCTGTCAGATACTTCACTCTCGTTTACTGCACATCTTCAGGACACTCATTCATGATGTGTTTTCCATCAGCGCTCCGCTGGACGATCTTGCTGACACTTTATTGCCGACCCGGTCTGGAAGCGTTCAGTCACAACCTGTCCGATCACAGTAAGATCGTTTGAGCACTCTCTAGCTCAGATCATACACTCTAGACATAGGGCTGGACAATAATTCAATATCAATATGTATCGCTATATAATTTTTTTCAATAACGGTGATATGATTTTTAAACACATTTCCGATATTTTGATATACATTACCAGTTTCCCATACATTGATTTATTTGTGCCGTTTGACTTCGTTGAATAAACATGAGCACTGCACGTTTCAAAATCAAAACACGTCGAGTACTTATTAGCATCAGGACTTTAGGTTTTCCACTGTGTTGTGACCAAAAGATAAATGAGTGTGACATCTGGCACTGAATGGCGTATGATAGTGTGTATAATAAGTGAACTCAATGTAAATGTAAGTGACTATGGCAGTGAACAGAGCTGTGTGTTCTGCACTCACTCTCTGCGTCTCTGCGGTCTGCAGCTCCGGCGGGCAGCTTCTTCAGATAGTCCTTCAGTAAGAGCTCATAGCGCGGGATCCGCTGCACCGGCTCCAGCATGTGATGCTGCAGCGTCAGGTTCCCACACACCTCCTGCTTCTGCACACACACACACACACACACACACACACACATGTTCAGAGAACAGTCTGCGGTTTATCAGACATCGCCAGTGTTGGGGAAAGTTACTTTTAAAAGTAATGCATTACAGTATTGCGTTACTCCATAAAGAAGTAACTGATTGTGTAGTTACCTTTTATGGAAAGTAATGCATTATGTTACTTTTGCGTTACTTTTTGTCACCTGGGCTGGGCTTGCTTAATTCTTTTTAATAACCCAATAGAAAACCCAAAAGTTATATTTTGGCAACTATAAGGGTACTTTCACACCAAAATTTAAATGAATAAGCCTCAGGCTGAAGGAAGTGTCTCTGCACTCTGCAGTGATTTCTGTCACCATGGCAACAACAGAGCTGTCACTCAACACATGGAAACAAAGTAACTGCTGTTACTCATTTAAAAATGTAACCCAGATATTTCATTGTAATTTTAAAAGTAATGCATTACTATCAGTGTTGTGGGTAACGCATTACAAGTAACGTGAGTTACGTAATCAGATTAAATTTTTCAAGTAACTAGTAAAGTAACGTGTTACTTTTTTAATTTAGAAGGAAATATCTGCGTTACTTTTTTAATCATTACTTTTTTTAAAAGTAACTAGTAAAGTAACGCATTACTTTTTAATTTAGAAGGAAGTATCTGAGTTATTTTTCAAACAAGTAACGCTAGTTACTTTGTTTCCATGTATTGAGTGACAGCTCTGGTGTTGCCATGGTGACAGAAATCAGGAGTAAGTGCAGAGCGTTGTGTGTGAACATGATCTTACTGTAGTTCTAGACTAAATATCAACATGTGTTTACTCATCTCACTGCACACAAACACATTCAGTGTTCCTCACAATCAATAAAAACAGTCAAATGCAAACTCAGAATATTATGCAAACCTGCAATAATTAAATGCATTAAAAAACGAATAAAATGTATGTATTTAATCCCATTTTATTAAGCAATGTCTTTGATACTGATCTTCGATGATTCACTTCAATCATACTAATAAGCAGAAATGACACATTAGTGTTTAATTTGAGTTACTGCTGAATAGTGTTGAACTTTCTTCTGCTGTGATTAGTTTGAGCTGCGCCCTCTACTGTACAGACGAGAATTTAAATTTCTTTCAGCCTGAGCCGCATTCATTTCACTTTTGCTGTGAAAGCGCTTTTACATTTGTAAAAGAAGAGCTTTTTTATATTAAAAACAAACAAGCAAGCCCTGCCCAGATTTAAAAAGTAACGTAATGCATTACTTTCCATAAAAAGTTTCCAAAATTAGTTACTTTTTTTATGGAGTAACGCAATATTGTAACGCATTACTTTTAAAAGTAACTTTCCCCAACACTGATTACTAGTTACTTTTAAAAGTAATCTGATTACGTAACTTGCGTTACCCCCAACACTGTGTTGATGCACACGTGAACATCTGTTCTCTTTATATCAGGACACAAGTCACAACTGTTTATTCAGAGATTCCTGCTGCATCACCGACTCTGCGCTCGCCTCTGCAGACACTGGAGTCCAGCAGGTCAGAGATTCACTCATTCATGAAGTTCAGGGCTTTATTATTTTATCTAGTGTACTGTAAGCGGATGTCTTGTGCAGGACGGTCAGCAGCCGGGATGTTTGTACGGTCTGTGGGAAACCCATCGCTGGATCAGAGAGGATGATTCTGGAAGATCTGAAGATCATCAGCCACGCGTCATGCTTCAGGGTAAAACATCAGTCGTGTCTGAATGTGGATCTGATGCTCAGAGCTGAACTCTGATGTGACGTGTGTGTCTGTGTGTGTGTGTGTGTGTGT